GTTGTTTAACGCGTTGGCTCTTGTGCCATGTGTTCCAAATTGTTTACTCGCATGAAAGGTTGCAAATATAACTTTTACACATTGTATGTAAGTGAACAGCCAAGGAATCCCCTGGACAAGCTATGAACCTCCTGAAGCATACATGTTCCAAATCAAAGATGAAAATGGAACCTTATCCGACTGGAAACGCGTCAGCGATGATGAGGAGGGTCATGTGGCCCACTTATTGAAGTGGTTGTACAATCACTATGTCCACCTAGTGCCTGGCAATGACGTTGTCATTCGTGAAGAGTTGATTTACATAGTGAAGGGCACCTCTGTCGCGCAAGAGCCAGAATGGTTGGCGCAAGTCGAATGCTTTAGCATTTGGGAACAACACGGTCAAACCTTCACCTTTAAGATTGTTCCCGTGAACTAGTGGCATCTGGAGCCACTTGCGCGAGAAAAAACATTGGTTGGCGGATCTTTCAACGCATCGTTCATAACTTGTCCAAAAAACATGTGACACATCAACTGATTCTTGGATGGGTCTATCGCGCTGAGGCTCCCTGGTTTACCCATTCTTTTTCAGAGGACCGATTTTTTTGGAAGGAAGTTGTTTGGCGTGCGAACTGGTGATTTGGTTCAGTGGCTGATGGTGCCACCATTTGTTTCGTGTTTGCTCCCTTCGCTTCTGCTCCCCTTGTCCTTTGGTGCCCCGGCTGGTGCAGGACTTGGATGTCCACGAGCTCCAAGAACGGCGGCGGCCGTTGGCCGCGGGGTTGGGTGGTTGTAGGGGCACCTTTTTTTAACAAAAACATGATACCTTTAATCTAAGTTAACCTTGAGAAAGGATTGGGTCCCAAAACCGACACAGCCCGGTCGTCGAGAGAGGTCGTCGAGAGGTATATATGTAATATATATATATCAATACTTATTATCTCCACGGCTCATGCCATCTTACTCTCCAACAGAGGCAAGCATTGTCTAGAAACACTGCCACTTCCCAATGTTTTGGCAATGCTTTGGCAATCATAAACCATGCTTTGGCAATGCTCTTGAATCACAGGTCAATGCTTTGGCAATCATAACCATGCTTACTGGAGCTACTCCCAAGCTACTGGATGCAAAGCAAGCACCCGAACAAGAGGAACAAAGAATCATTTCTGAAGCATGAACGTTGGATCGTTCCTTGTGCAATTCGAGCTGTTGCCTCTCACAATTCTGGAAGAGAGACTGTTCTTGAAGAGGATGTGTCAATATATCCTGTGTGGACTTCACATCTCATTCCAGAGAATGTGGCAATGCAGCTTGGAGGAAGCTTTCACATGACATCGCTTTCCAATATTGAGTCGATCATGAAACTAGGAATTGTCCCTGGTGGAACGGAGGGATATAGAGGTAGTGTTTTCTTCAACCACTTTGCGCCGTGGGATGATCGATCATCAAAGATTCTGAGATCAAGATGGCCAAGAGTGGGAATGCCCGTTTGCCTTTATGTTCCAATCATGACTTTGAGGAAGCTTGGGGGAAGAATTTCGGAGAATTCCTACACTGTTGTTTTTAGAGAGGTTCCATGGAGATGTGTACGAGGTGCTTGGTATTGGGACGACTACGTTCAGGCATGGAGGAGACTCCTGCTGGGAAGCACTGGAGAGCAAGTTGTTCTAGCGGCACGTCATGGACTTTGGGTTGCTCAGAAGCATACCATCCTCGAGAGAGCCGACGAAGTCACGAAGTCAGCCTCGGCGACAGATGACAACGTCCAAAAGCTCGTGTCCCTTATCGATGAAGTACAATTCGATGACAATGGAGAGCTGATCGAGGATTCCATCAGTGAGGAAACTTGGGACGAAATCATCTCCAGAACATGTGAAGGGTATCGCAACGTGGATGGCAATATTTTGTGTCCATCATGTATGCATTTGACTTCTTCATCTTTGTCCGTGTGTCTATCTTGTCAAGGCAGGCTACTCTCGTGTGGTATTCGCAACACTGTCATTTCCGATTCACCCGTTGATCTTGTGAGCGACGATGAAGAGGAAAAGAAGGAAGAGAAGGAGCCTGAAGATGATGATCAAGATATCTTGGACCAGGCCACTATGGACGAGATCAGAAAGGCTTGGGAAGAAGACGTCGCTCAAACTGAAGCAGCTGACGACGACGAGGACATGGACAATCTAGATCCTTCCAAACCGTCTGATGGTGCAGAAAACTTCAAGAGTGACAATGTCGAGACCCCATCTTTCAATGAGGACGAGATCGACTACGGTCGTGATTCTGATCTAGAAGATGAAGACGAACGAAACGTGATCATCGAGATCCAGAGGAGCACACAACAATATGAGGGGAAGAAACGTCAAGATGGTGAGCCCGAGGATGAAGACGTCACCGACGACTTACATCCGGAGGCGAATCGACCGACAGATCGTGATGAACCGGGATACTATGCACAGCATGGAGCGACCGAGTTCAATCCCGAAGAAGGAAGAGACAACGAAGATCTCCCCATCTATTGTCGAGTACCGGAACCTCGAATCTATGCGCATCAAGAGAGAGCCTACTGTCAGGACGTCTCCATGAATGCATCGGGTTTGATGGATAGGTATGTGGTCAAATGTGTGCTGAACATGATCTCCCTGATGTACAAGAGCTACTATTGCACCAGCCTTACCGACTTCAAAGCAAATTGGAAAAGGAAGCGTCTGGATGTGATAAGCAAGTTCGGTACAGAGGATTTCACTGGAATCGATGACGATGGGAGACCATTGGACCCAACAAATGACATGATGAGAATCTTTGCCAACGAAAACAAGATTACGATTGAGGAGGCCTGGCACCGATTCAGAGGAGAGCAATTCATTTGCAAGGTGGCACTCGTGATCCTATCATTTGGTCATACTCCGTACTCCTTCAAGAAGGAATATGGCAACTTCGAATACTCCACCAACTTGACTGACGTCCAGCTTGAGGAGTTGAAAGCGAAGAAAGCCAGCGCAATGACTGAATTGGTACAGAAGTGCATCCATGCGATTTATGGTTGTCGGACATATTCTTACTTTAGAACCGACGTTACATCACCCAACCACAAGGTGATCGATCCTCTGGACATCATGTACTCGAGAATGAAGAGCAAATGGGAGAAGTCTATTCTGCTGATCATTGATCAACATGAGATCAGGTTGCCCCCACACGCTCAGAATGTCGTAGAGTCAATGGCCAGAAATCCCAACATTGGACATACAGAGAGATGGATGAGCGTGGTAGAACAGAAGCATGTTCAAGCTCTTACCGATCGTCTAGGCTTTGGAGATAGGGCCAAGGAGATTCAGGGCAAGAAGAAGCAGGCAGCCAAGGCAACAGCTAAGTCAACATCAACGACTAAGTCTGAAGCGAAAGCAGCATCTTCGTCAAGAGCTGAGGCAAAGCCAGCATCTACACCCAGAACCGAGGCCAAGCTGTCGTCAGCGCCAAGTGAGGAGCCAAAACCTTCAACAGCACCTAAGAGTTTCGGGCCCTCATCAGCAGAGGAGAGCAAGGCGAAGGCTGCTCCAAAAGCCAGACCACATGATAAATCACCATCCAGTGCTACCGATGTGTTTGAGCAAGCTTTGCAGGAAGATCTTGCCGCCAACGCACATGCAGCAGAAGGTACAACTTCTTCATCATCCCGAGGACATTCCAAAGGAGGAGGCCAATCTGGAACATCTTGGAGGCCGGCGCTAACGCAAGAACGTCGCGAAGTACCTCAACCTTCTGAAAAGGGGAAGGGAAAGAGCAAGTCCAAGGGAAAGTCCAAGAAGGGAGAAGATGATCGGCGGGATGCTCAGGGCAGCTGGGATCATCGTGGATGGAGAGGTTATCGCCAGTGGTGATTTCTTTGAACGACTATGAGGATACCATGCAAACCAGGGAGGAAGTCATTCACCGGATGTCTATCTGACCTGAAACGCTGTAAGTGTATCATTGCAAATCATCAATCCGATTTGATACCATGAGCATAATGGAAGGCAGACAGTCACCGACTGTCTCTCCGACTTGCCGTTCTGTAAGTGTATCCAAACCAAAACCTACATCTTTTGAGAAGTGTGAAGTCAGTTGCCGATGTGACATCTACGTGGAAGTCACCAGTTCGGATCTACATCAAAGCGATGCTCTTTTGAGTGGATACTGAGCGAGGCCTCGTGACTGTCTCACTTGTTCAATTCGATTTTCATAGGTTCTGAGCCATAGTTGCACACTTTATATGTAAAAGTCCGCTTTAGTCCAGCATGTTTCGTAGTATGAGCCTCATATGAGTCTCGCGGCAAATCATACAATTTCTTTTGTAGCACTTACATCCCTAAATTTTCGTGTGTGATCGGAACATATTGTTGCCGTTCACATGGGGGGTGCGAATGGAAGTGCAGCGACACGTACAGTGCAACTTGTACATATATATGTACCATATGTACTTTGGCTCAAGGATCAAGCGACTAGAAAAGGTGCGGTTTCCGTTCCGACGCTACGCCGCTTATGGATCGTCAGTGATAGCTTCAAACTTCGCTGATTAAGATCCACTCGCATTCTTCAGGTTCTTCAGCAGGGTGACCTTCAGGTTTTGAGGTCCTTTGACCCTCCAGGAACTTGAGGACCACTGGGTTGTAGAGGGTGTGTGGCCTTTTGAGGAAAGTTGACATTATGTGTTTCTTTCGAGCGGGTGGAATAGAGAACAGAACGACGCTCGTTTGGCTGCTGAGCTTTAGAAAAAGGTATGTTTTCTCAGCAATTTCCCATGCATATATAAGATAGATAGATAGATAGTTAGATTAGATTAGATTAGATAGATAGATTAGATAGATTAGTAGATAGATAGATAGATAGGTAGATAGATAGATAGATAGATGTATAAACACCACGTTGTGGGATCCTTGTACCCGTTTGTTGAACCATTGATACCATGTAGAAGGACAATTAGGATCTCTTCTTGTACCACGCTTTTGTCACTTACCAGAATATAGCGCTCCCCACTAATCCCTGAGGCCATTGTTGATCGTATTCTCCTGCGAGAAGTGGAAGATGCACTGGAAGAATTGGCTTTCCTCAACGCCGCGAGGATACGTGGCAGCGACCGTTGAAGCTAGGCCATTGGAAAGCGACAGCTTTGTCACATGGCACTGTGCAGATTGCTTCCGCTTCGGCTTGGACCTGGTGATTCCATCGGTCACTTGGCACATGGAGATGTATGGAGATGTACCCTCCATCCCTTGGCTCCTGGAGCCCTTGGAGGTCGTTTTGTATATCATTAACCTCGCGACCACCACCCCCCGTTTCCATCAAAAACAGGGAGAGGCTCCATGGTTACACACCTCCCACATCTTTTCATATAGATCTTCGGTGGAACCCGGAAGCCTGTCAATGGTAATATGATAGATATGATAGCACACACACCCAAGACACAAGAAGATACAATAAGTACCTTTTTGCATCCCCCTGAATGGTACATCCCCAAGAAGCAAAGAAGGGAAGTTATTTAGCGCAATTCAGAAGATGCGGTTGTTTATCTATGTGTCGTTTTGGAAGACGCGCCGTGCTGCGTGTTGTGTTTGCCCTACCGGAGGCGGTGGCCTCCGCCGAAGCGCGGCGCTTGCAAGGCTTCAATCGGCAACCGGCGGACCGAACCTTGTTGCTTACATGGAGAGGGGAGCATGCAGAGTCCAGTGCAAGGTCTGACGTGCGGCAAGGCGGGGGGCTTGGGCTGGACGGATCCAGTATGAATTGGCACATGAAGGATCATGAAGGCAGAGCTCAGTAGAAGAATATATAGGAACCGGAGCGATCAGTGCGCTGAAGGGACATGGTGTTGCAATGGGATAAGTGATGGGATGATGTGTGAATAAATGTGACCCTTGTGAATGGCATACCTGGCCATTGTACATCTGATATTTGTGGGGGATCTGTGGCAATTCTCTTGGTCAGCGTTCGGCACACCCAGATGTCAGCAACCCTACTGCTACTGGTGACTCGCATAATATAGTTTTGGGTTATAATATGCTTATAGTTACAGTCACGAGTCAATCGTCTCGCTGGAAAACTGCAGGCTACTTGGAGGTGAATGAGACGGTACGGCCAAGGATCCTTAAGACCTTCCAGTCCAAAGAAGATGCAGATGTTGGTCGCTCCTCCATGCGCTATAGCTTTCTCATGGGCAACGCGCATTTCTGCTTGGTGCCTCGAGGCGGGTGAAGGCGAACGTTGTGTGTTTTCCTCCGCAGTGCAGGCACAAGCCGATCTCAGGGAGAGGGCACGAGATGGATAGATATGGACGTATGAATTATAGTATTATATATATATATAGAGAGAGAGAGAGATTGAGATATAGATATATTACTTGTACTATATAGAGTGCAGTGTTGCTGTGGTTGGTTGTGGGTGTGAGATGTTTCGACCAATGTTGCAAGAGCCCTGGTCACGCAAGATGAACCCCCTGGTCACCAGTTTCACGACCCCTGAAGTCATGGGACGTTGAGGCCCGGTTTTCAGGTTCCTGAGAGGTGCCATGAGAGTACTCCCAGCTAGAAGCCGCCATGACCCGCTGTTGGATGTCCCCAGAGGCCCTGAGTTGCTGTAAGTGGACAAACATGTGCTATGTTATGCTATGTTTATTCCTAGGATATGGATGGACCTTGCCTATCCATGTTTTGCATCACACGTCGGAAAATTGACCTCAATTGATTCAGAGACGGTTTTTCCATGTTCATGGGAAAAAAGCTGATGATCCTCATGTTTCTATTGTTTCTCGTGCATGTTTTCACATGTTTTCCACCATGAAGTCCGCCACTACACCAAGCCAGTCCGGCGAGGTCCGTCCTCGCGCACGCACGGCCGTACTCGCCGTCGATCATCACGCGCGATCACGCGGCGGAGGCCGAGGATGGTGGACGGTGCGGCTCTTCGAAAGTTTCTACGCTGGATGCATCCCGGTCCTGTTGAGCGACGATGTAGAGCTCCCCTTCCAAGAGTTGCCTGGTGGGGTGGTGACCGCCAGTGACCTGGGGAGGGTGGGGTGGAAAGTCGGGGTCCGCGCAGTCCTTCTTGAATTCGGAGATAGATTTTCGTCTTGGAGTTGGAGTGAGGACCAAAAACACAGAATCCAAGTGAATCAACATGAATCAACCACATGCTTTGGCTCTCGTCATGGGCCGGATTGCTCGATGTCCCGGATTAGATCCGGAAAAAGGCTATCACAGTGGTTGAAGTTCTCGCGCTTGGAGGAGGTGCAGGAGCAAAAGGGTAACTTTCTAAAATCTACCATCTTCTCACTTGCAGTACTTTGGCCAACAGATTCACAGCTGCCCAGGTCAATTGCGCGAGCAGAAAGCTACTGTATTGTTCCTTATCCTATACTGCACGGAAAGTGTTCTTGGACCTTTGATGCTAAACAGTATGTCATTGCATTTGCCCAAATCCTGGAAGGTTTTTTTTTGGGGGTGGACGTTTTGTGGACCACAGAAGGGTTTGTTAGGGGTAATAAGCTGACGTCCACCCAAAGAAAAACAGCAAAGAAATATACACACGAAAGCACGCTTTCCCAGAACTCTCAGCACAGAAAAAACGCCTTAGAGTGCTGTTCTCGGTGCGCTGGGCTGGTCACGGTGCGTTCGAAAACGCAGAGGTTTCTGTCTTGGGAGACCTTCTCAGTGAAGTGGCCCATGGATCGGGTGGACTTGGGTCTCTACGAGCACTTGCAGCACTTGCAGCAGGATGAGGTGAAGTTGGAACGGCTCCACCGGATGGTACGGGAGGTGGCCTGTTGGTTTGATTATTTGCAACCGATGGAGGCCAGTTTGGGCCGGTTGTTGTTGGGTTGTTTGGATGAGTTTGGGAGAAGTAGCTGGGGCCAACCTGGAAGTTGGTATGACAATGAGAAAGATGAGATTGGAAGGGTTGAGCATGGGGGAGCTATAGAGATTGCAGCTGCAACCGCTAGCAAAGGATGTTTGTTTTCTGTTTTGCACTTCTCTATATGTTAAAAAACCATCAAAAGCTTGGTTGCATGACACAGAGGCAGCATAGAGGCATCAGAGACCTGAGACATCCAACACGTTGCGGGTGATGCTCGATCGACCCTGATGCAGGCCTCTTGCTCTCCTTATCAAGGCTTTTTGAAGCTACTGGCTTTGTCCACGTCACGGCAAGTTCGAGATCCACCCGTGCTACGCCGATTCTGGTTCTAAATTTGGGCGCCAAAGGCCAAAGAAACCATCCTAAGAATCTCGATTTGGAATTTGGCCCTTGTCTGAATCAGATGGGGTCAACAGGCAGGGCATGAACAGCCATTGCAACACTGCAAAGTTCGCGTCTGAATAAGTCAAGCCCAAGAACCTGCAGATCGATCTTTTCACGCTTTTGCATGCAGCTCTTCAGCTTTTGGCACGTTTTCTGAGCATCTGAGCGGATGGCGTGACTGGACAGAACGCTTGCCAACGATCCATCGTTGTTTTGGACTCCCAACGAGACCACGAGAACTGAAGCGACTGCGATCGCCCATCTGGGCGGCTGCCAACGCTGCGGCGCGACGGGACGGCGACACGTAGCGGCTGACGCGCTGAGCACCGCGGCACGCCACAGGTCACGCCGGTCGTCACGAAAAAAGAGCCGCAGCCACCGGCCGGAAGGGAACGGATGGGAGTGGAGACCGTGTGGAGACCGAGCAAGTTGGTTTTGGGTGTTCAGCCCGGACGACTCCCTGCAAAGATTTCAGCTGGTCAAAGAGAGTTGCTTGATTTTTCTGATGTTGTGATCGGATGGTGTGGATTATATCTAGGATACTTCCTTCCAACCCGTGCTGTGTGAATATTCTCAGATCACCTCAGCTGTTCGCCCTCAGGAAAGCCCTCGCGCGTGTGGACTGGGTGGTGGCAACGGCCACCAAGCTCCGCGAGAAGGAACACAAGCATTTGGCCACCAGTGTAGCCCAAGGCGCCGCCAGTGTAGGGGGATGGCGGATGTATGCTGATGCTGGTTGGAGGGTCTTTGTTTTTGAGTTGGCTGTGCAGGGGGGTTGGATACGTTATGATGTGTCATGCGAATAACAATGAGCATGATATAGTGATGATGATGAAGAAGATGAAGAAGACGATGATGATGAGGATGATGGTGATGATGATGATGAAGATGCACGATTGAGTCAAGATGTTTCCTGCAGGTAGCCGACAGCGACCCAGACTACAACTCACGGAACCACTGGATCAAGCAGTTTATGTGTGTGTGTGCTTGTTTCTTTCTTAGCCTGGATCCACAAGGAGGTGCGAAATCACCATGCAATTTGTATATACGTACTACTGTAAGTCATCGAAGTCATTTGTACCTTGAAAGAGGGCGTGGCACCAAAGACACATCTTAAGCATCCTTAAGCTGTTTTATCCTAGATTCCTAGATGGCTCACTCTCCTTTGGCTGCTTTTCTGCCAGGTGCCGCAGCGGTAGATGCACCTTGGGTGCATCGAGACATTATATATATTACATTATTACAATATAAGCATGTGTATTTGAATGCTTTTCAGGTACCCAAGCACACTGAGAACCAAATTGATCCAAATTGGCGGTTGAAAAGACTATTGTCATCGTTTCCAGGAAACTCGGGCCTTGCATAGGAGGGAACACAGCTCGCCGTTCAGATCACGATATTCTGAGTGGAGGTGTTAGGACAAAAATGCAGAGAGAGAGAGAGGGACAGAGAGGTCGAGGGAGAGAGAGATGCGAAACGTTGCCACATGCGTGGATTCGCCAGCATAGACTGTAGATCTTGGAGATTGGGCGCGCCATCGAGCTAAACTGAGGTGCTGCACAAGGCGGCGAACTCCTTGGAGAAGTACTTGCAGGAGGCCTTTGGTCCAGATGGACAAGGGATGATGTATCCAAAAATACCATATATTGCACTCCCCCCGCCCCAACGCCTGGTGAATCATGCTCCTTGGTTGAATGAAGTGGAATCCTCTTTGAGCTTCAGTAGCGCCCATGAAGGAATCCAGGCCAGCCACACGAGTTTGTACGTCACTTGTGTTTTTCCCACAGAAGGGGGAACCGATTCACGAACTCCGTGGCAGAACTCACCCACAGCCCCAGCCCCCAGGCAGCCCAAGACCAGATTTTTTGTATGGTTCGACTCGGTGACAGGAATGTCCTTTTCAAACAGAAGGCTCGAAAGCAATCTGAGCTACGGCAACTGAGCATTGCTGGGTACGAACACCCTAGAATCTAGCCCTAGAAACTGAACATTGTCTGCCCCACCCTAACTCTGGAGAAGGGGCATAGTGAGCTGAACACACCATGGCGAAAATACAAAGGACAGTTTAAACCATGATCATGCTTGTACAATTTCGTACCTGTCAAGCTGGTTATCTAGTAGCAACGAACGTCATGAGTCATGGCCAACAGCTACGCTCCTCCAGCGTAAGCAAGGAACGTTTGGTCTCCCCGATGCTGGTAACCTGGTAGGTCGGAACGCCCAAGGACGAAGCACATCTTCCGAAACACGGTCCCAAGGGACGGTATGATCAGAAAAACTTGATATGAGTTGATGATTTGTGAAGTTGGAAACCTTCTATCAGAAATCATCAACTTATCAACCTCTTTTTAAAACCTTTTCTTTCTTTGACTCTCTATCTCTCTCTCTCTCTCTCTCTGATTCTCGTGCCAGGGTGGCACGCTAGGCGGGACGCCCAGTGGTGGTGGAGATGATGATTCTGTGCCTTGGCGGACGTCTCCATGTCGGAGGGAGACGACGATCTCATGCGATCTCATACTAGCGACCTCGCAGGATGGACTCCAAAGCGAAGCGAAAAGTAAACAATTGAGAAATGCCGCGGGAGTTGCTATCAATCTGATTACGGGGACCTTTTGCAAGGCTTCACCCACGAACAACATCTCTACAACGGTCTCCTTTACAACCTACCAAATCTGAACAAGTAGTGGAACATGGACCATCCGCAAGGACGTCATTGCAACCTTTGGGCCCCGGATGGTGCGTCAGATGCACCAGACCCAAATTCTCACGTTGCGAGAAAGCCCGTGAGCCCTGATTCCTCCAGCATGGCAACAAGGCATGGAGGCCGAAAGCCATATCTGAAGCCTAAATATATCGATCCATATCTAGTCTAAATATTCTATAAATGCCTATGAACATATGTATGGTTTTAATCGGAAACCGGTGACTTGGAACATGTTGAATGAGGAATCCATAACTAAAGCCTATAGACATGCCTGCACCTCCATGCACCTTCTGCCCAGAATCTACAGATCATTCAACTATATCACTATCTTAACTGTATATTTAAATATATTGCCTCCCCATCACCGATCGCCACCAAGATGAGGGTATTTGCAATATGTGTTGTCACAGAACATCGTGACAGTTGCACGGACATGCACAGACCGCGGCCCAGGAGTTTGGCTTCTTTACCGAAGCCAGCAAAGGAAGCGATACTGGGCCAGCACTCAGGCACGTGAGCGGTTCGAGCAGAATACTTTCCTATATAGATCCAGGAGGTTTCAGGGTTCACTAGGCTATATGAGCCTTGTCATCCATGGACTTCAGGGGTCGAGTCGTGAGTGTATTGCACCCTCGGAAGTTGAGGAAGGATTTGAAAGCGCATGTTGATGGCTGCTAGCCACCTTGAAACTATAACATCTCCATAGATCCCGCAAAAGTTCATGTATCTTCCTGTTTGCTTCCTAAAAGCCCCCAGAAGCAACTGCCCCCCCCTCAGCCCTTCCAAATTATGCTCTCCATGGGGTGTTTTTCTTTGCCACCTTGTCCTTCCATTTCCGCGTGACCCACCACCGCTTCATCTCGGCGGGACCTTCCAGGTCCTTGACGTCGGTCATCGCCTCGGTGAAGTCGGAGGTGGAGCAAGTGAAGCTCCGTCCCTCCGCCCGCACACCGCGCGTGTCGCCGCGCATTTCGGGTGGGAGGTGCGGAGGAAGCGACGGACGGTTCGGTCTGAGCCAGTGAACTGTTTGGCACACGACATGTCTGAGTCTGTGCATGGTTTGCGTTTTTTGGGGTCCATTTCCGGAGATCTCCGGCAGTTGTAGCTTGCTCTATGTTTGCGAGTTTCGCGTGGGTAGATGGATTTTCCTTGGGTCGGTGGGGTTTGGTTGGTTGATTCGATGATTCGATGGTGAAGTTGGGGGGCCCAGCGGCCAAGCCCCATCCGAACTGACTTAGGCGAGTCGACTGATCAAGCAGCGTATGTCGGCTTGGTGGAGGCTGTCCGTGCATGAACTCCGTCGTTCCCGTGGATTTGCCATGTGGCCGTCGACGGGCCGTGAGACGCCTCAAAGATCAGATTCACAAGAACCATGAAGCAATTGAGCCAACCGGTCGAGTCCAGGGGTGTCACATACCTTTGAGGGATTTGGATTCTTTTGGCAGCACTGGTGCCTCGCCGCTATGAAATCAGGCCGGTCAAGGCTCCCTATATAAAAATCTATAAAACAATTGTTCTATGGTAACTAGGGGGGTTGCACCTCATATCTATAAAATCATATTAGATCACTTGCACCCTCCATTCAACCATATTCAACCTCTTCTTCTCAGATCCGGGCACAATGCCAAACCGGTCGCTCCGAGTCAAAGCGGTCGCCAGGTGGCCAAGTCCTCTCGGCGAAAGGATGCCTTCAGTTTGACGGATTTCGTGGGAGGAGCCTGTCCGCAGCCAAGACGACGCGAAGAAAAGTGCGATCTTTGAGTTGGTTTTGCGATGTTTGTGCCAAGGCAAAGTTCAAGAGGAACCAACAAGCAACCAAAATCAATCACAACAGTCCACGACTCTTGACGGTTCTCTCTCTTTCTGTTGGAGTTTTAGATGAATCTGGACCATTCTAGGCGCATCGTACGTGCCACTTAGTCCCACCGCATCGATTGATTGGGACAAACGGATCCATTCATGCAAATGGTTGCAACACTAATGATGCGGTCCAGCATTCTGCCGTTCTGTGGCAGAACCTGTTTCAGGATGTTGCTTTGGCAGATCAATCATTCTGGGTAGTGCTTTGATCCATCATTTCCCTGAGAAGCACGACTGTTGGCAGGACAAGCTGCACTAGCTGCAGAGAGTCAAAGGATCCAGGACCGCCAGAAGGCGACGCAACGTGGAGCTCGTGGCTTCGCCGAGCTGCGACGGTCCACGCTGTTGGAGCCGAGCTGCGCCGGTCGCGGTGTTTGTGGAAGTCACGTTATGGAGACCATTGATGAACAACTCCCCAGTTGGATTGAACAAACTCTTCATATGGAGTCTTTCGATTCCGCACAAATCTACACCATGACATGACACATGACATGACTGTCATGACCCAGGACCCTCCAAGCTCACCAGCCTAGCTCAATCGTTTGAACACCGTCCACACCGGAGGCCTTGAAGGAGCAAATGGGCCTCACGGATGAACTGGCCATGACACTGAATGCAGCCACTTGGCGCCAAACGTGGCGCTCTCGCCGCTTTGCGACCCGGAGATATGCACAGAACTGGATCTCATTTGCATGTCAGTCATTGGATAGTATATGAGCTTATATTGAGCCTTATAGTATTTCTGAATAGATCAATACATTGTGCAAAAATATGAATACTTGATTAATCATGATTAATATATAGATTGTTCAGGAGTGGTTATGTTTCACCTGAGTTCTTTGAGGCCGTATGTCGAATCGATACCCAGAAAGCAAAGACCGCATGCCGGCATTACGCTGAGTCAATGTGAGATCGCTATGGTTTGCTTATCTTTCAATGTGTGCTTTTGGAAGAACTCCGCACTGAAAACGTTGAACACACTGCGAGCACCCCCAAGGAAACACTATATGTTTCATTAGGTTTCAACTTTCAACGATTTTCAACGCATGTCATATCAACCTTCCATGGTGCCAATGCCTATATATAGTGTATCCATTCGCACGTTTGCCTTGGCCTTCCACTTTCGACCAGGGAGGGTCCACTGTGAAATACGCGTCGTTGAACCATTGGAAGCACATGGAAGCACCGTATCACCGTATCGCCAGGAATGTGAAAAGCTCATGGCCAACTTTGAGGCGAAGAAGACCATGCGGAGCCAAGAAATCGATGCGTTGGAGGCCAAGAAGAAGGCCTTGGAGCCATGGCCAGAGGCGGTCGAACTCTGTGAGAGTTTGGTGGCAAATTTGTGGAGTTAAACGTTGGAGACGGCTAAGCCTGTGTGAAGGCGTTTTTTCTCGCCTAGTTCTGATCCATCAAATGGATCGGTTATGATCGGTTTAATGAAGTACCAAGTTTGGACTTTAGAGCCTAAGAGATCTAAGAGCGATGTCACTTACTGCCAGGAGGTGTATATATATATATGAGATACAGGGGTTCTCAGATGTGGGTGTTTGGAGTGCTTATAGGGGTGCTTTGGCTTTTGGCCATGGTATTGTTTCAAGATATATTCCAATTTTCCACAGATGACCCTCCTTGCCTGGGAGTTGGGAAAGGCCGCTCAGAGCTACCAACCAAATGTGAACCAGGGTTCTGCAGCTTACATCCCCTGTTGACGATTCCCTCCATTTAGACAACTAGAGAAGCAATTTCGTTCTTAAGTTTCAGCTACTGGTGGTGATTGACTTCCCTGCTCATAGTGATTGCCAGCGGATTGCACTCAGGAAGCCTCCTTGGTGAAGCGCTTGGAGTCAAGCTTTGCACTGCAAGCTTTGCATTACCCAAGCTCATAGGGTCATGGAACAATGATGACTGATGCTATACCCAGACACTCCATGTATGGAATATATGCCTACATTGACCCCACCAAACCACCCCAATGTAAGCATATACATGGAGTGTCTGGGATATACAAAGGGTTCAGCTTCCATGAAACGTGTTTGCACGTGTTTGTTTGCTGTTGAGCCCTGATGCCGAGCATTGAGGCCGACGTGGAGCTGCAGTGAAGGGACCAAATGCTGGCACAGGATCAGCCCTGGTTGCTGAGAATTGAAGCATTGAGGGGCAAAAAAAGGTCATTTCAGCAGCCTGCACGGCCAACAGGATCGGGGCAAGGGTAAACCCTGAGGGCTTAATCTGAGAAGGTGGGGTTAGACCATTAAATAGGTATGTACTTGACCCCTACGCCAATCTTGGGCAAGGCATCATGGGTGCATCTATGTGATGCTGGCAACGCTTGTTGATACTCACAGGTTGGGACCCACAGCTGGCAAGAACAAACACTCACTTTGAACATCTGTGCTCCTTCACTGGGCCTTGTTTGTTCTGCCACCTTTCGGTCTTCCTGGCTCAGTAGACTCGTCATGAGACCGGCACATGAGCTTCAAGAGCGAGACAGGCATCCGGGGGTCAGCTGGTCCATCCTAGAAAGCTGAGGCTCTTGATTTGCATGCATCTTGACCTGCACAAACACGTCGACCTCAAAGGGTTTGGTGCCGCCATGCCGCAGAAGGTGCAGCCCATGTCGAGGGGCGCGGAGCGCGAGGAACTTCGCTTCGCGCAGAGTCGACCTGCCCAACATGCCGAGAATCAGTACGAGGGATTCTTCAAGGGTAGCTGGGCGCTGAGTCTTAACTTGTCCCGAAAACTTGCGAAAACCCATGTGCTGGGCTGCATTTTGGAGTGGCACCTTTTGAATCCTTTTGATATCCCTGAGTTCGGAGATGGGTGACCTTGTTCAAGAAACTCCCCATTACCACCGGCTGCCACTCCCAAACTCAACATCATGAACCCCAAAACCCGACAAAGGACGGGATGCTTGCGTGTGTGTGCATGCCTACATGTCCTCCACAAGCAAACTCATCCTACACATAGGACAGTGGCAGTAAGAAGTTGAGCAGCAAGTTTACTCCCCAGCAGACAATCCCATGGACATAAGAATTCGATTTGAAGACATCCGAAGACCAACCCCGACGTGGTGACAGTGGGGTTCCATGGTAGTCCGTGGTGACAAGGGGGGCGTAGCATCGGTTTAAGCACTTGGTTGAGACTCTCCAAGATCGACTGGGCATAGCAAGAAGGTCGCTGCACCAGTAAACAGCAACTCGCAACATCCGCACCTTCAATAGTGTTGAGTTTCCCAACTTGACCCAGGGTGTAGTTTACCATACTATCCATATTTTACACCAGGGTCTTCAAAGGGCTTTTGCAGTGCCTGTTCTCCTGTCTTCCGTTCACGGGGTGCGGCTGAGGCATGGGCTCCACTTCCAAGGAGGCGGGGGCGGGGGAGAGTCGGGTCGGCTGACCGGTGGGGTGCTGACCGGTTGAGTTCTTGGCTTTGGTTAATCTGACTTTAGTGGGGAATGCTCAAAGGCTTCAACCTTGGGCAGCAAAAGCGCAAAACTGTTAAAGCGCAATGGAAATTCTGCAATCCAAAGAGTGGAGCTGCTTGAAGAACCTCGCTCTTGTCAGAAGTTCAAGCAGTTCGGTCAGAAGGGCAGGGACAACTGGTGCAACCGTGTAGGCATAAGATGGCATAAGCTGCCATAACCAAGCTTCCAAAGATCACCCATGTAGCCCAGCATCTATCGGATCTATCGACCTGCTTTGATTTTAGCACCTTTAGTATTGTTTGCGATGTCTTCCCTCCTCACCACACCGATGAGATATCCGCTCAAAAGGCACCCCTCGAACAATGCCCATCTCTGGTCTTTTCTCCGAGCCAACCGGGACCGGGCCTGGGCGTTCATCAGGTGATTTGCAGCAAGAAGGCCTCGCAATTGAAGCGCTTACACGAGGCCACCCACTTTGCCATTGGCTGTCAGAAGTGGGACGAGGAGATGTCCCACAGGGGAGAGCCAAGATGGCGAAGATTTTGCTCGTTTTATCGGATTCTTTGTGATAGACATGGGGTGGGCTCACAAAGAGTTGAAATGGGAACAGGTGCCAACATGTGCCAACTGTTGTTTTTGGCTGCAGATACGCCGCCCTTACTCCTGTCACATTTTGGTGTGGTGTGGTTGTTGGGTGGGTCGGGGGTGTGGAGGTGGGGGATGTGCTTGTAGCGATGTAAGGATGCAGTGATACGTAACTCACTGTGTTGTCCTTTAATTTCCTTTATGTATTGCAACTTGCTTCCTAAATTTTGCATTTGCATGCATGTGCTATCATTTGCTTCCAAGCAACATCCAAATCTACTGCAAATACCACAGAAAAGAATACAACCAACAAGATCCAAAAAGCACGTGCATACAGTTGCAGGGAGGCGTATCAGACGTGTCCCTAGTTTTTGGACTCTTTTGGCGAGAGGGTTTCAGCAATCATTCCAGCATTATGCATTTCCAGGTTCACTCTTGCTTCACTTTGGCGGTGGTTTCGGCACTTCTGCCCATGGCGACGCACCACCCAGTTCGGATGGTCCAAAAGTCCCGCTGAAGACAAGCCAGTGACTAACACGGACCCTTTTCAAACCAGTGGCCGAGGAAACAGTCTTTCAGGGTCCATTCGACCCGGGTCTCAGGGTCTCAGGGTCCATTTGAGGGGGTGTAGACCACCATCAAGAGCTACCCTGGGTGCTGGGGTTCGACTCCGAGAACTGGTCGAAACAGCTGGAAAGACCCGCTAAGTGACCCGCTGGGTGCACCATTTCATTGGCCATGTATTCTCCGGAAAAAGATTCGAGGCGATGCCGAGCGATGTGGGTGCGGATGTTGAGAAAGCACTCTTTCTCCTCACCCCTAAGGGTGTGTAACAAGATAATATGGATTCTGTAGATCGAACCACAGCTCGCCGAGTTGATTGGCGTTTGGAGCTCCAGGACACTCGAGGGGCTTCTGTGAGCCATAGCACCTTCGTGGATCCTGAAGTGGTCTATGCCACCTGTGATGCCCCGGACAAGAATATGAGCAGCCCGGTGCATGTTGGAATCAAGAGGTTGAGCTGGTGGAGGGATGTGGATGGTTTTGAAGAGGGACTAGGTGACCACAGGTGACTGAACCAACCTCACCCAAACAACCCCACCAAAAAAAGAAGGCTGGTTCTTGACAAAAACACGAGTTCTTGAAAGGCAACCTGAGATTTTGTTGAGATGCAAGATTCCCAATTTCCTGTTCTACATGTTGAGTTTGCTCCACTACAGACTTTTGGATACTTTGGGCGCGGTGTGGTTTGTTTTTGAGGCTATACCCAAATCGGTCCAGGTGAATCCAGGTGAGGAGATCAACGGAATGATGTATGTCGATGGCAACATATGTTGTACCATGTTGTACCCATATAAAGCTCCTTAGGACTCTATAGGGTGCTTTTCATATCAGCGCGGGGATTGTTCAATCCTCCTGGACATATTATAACTATATATCTATATATATATATGTTTTGCATTGCAGTTAGTTGCTTTGGAAATTCTAGATTCTAGTCAAGCCCCCTATGCTTGTCACCCAAAATGCCCCAAAGGCTTCTCTCTCCCCTGTCCAGCTCCCCCGTTCCACCGCTTCCATCGCCGGTTCAACCGCCGGTTCAACCGAACAACAACGGCGGAACAAGGTGTCGTGGAGCTGCGGCAGCAAGTCTTTAAACCGGTGACCCACTACCGCACCGAGCAGCGGGACCGCTTCGAGGATCCAGGCGCCTGTGGGAGCCGCGCGCAGCCGGGTGCGGAAGCATCAAAGGAGAGGCTTCCACAGAGGATATGGTGCGGATTCCCAGACATCCGGTGATCAGTAGGCAACCAGTGGTTCATAATCCGGGAATTATCTAAACATCATAATTTATAATATATATATACAATAGTTATTATATATATATATACATATCCTAGAACTCTTTTGTGGAGCTCATCCTAGGATTCGAGTGTCCTACAGCGAATAAATATCCGCTTGGTCTAGTTTGCCTTTTACATGTGCTTTCACCTTTCCCCGTTTACATCCATTTCCTTGCCATTTGTTCGAGAGTTCATTGATCTCTACATGTGTTGTTATGATCTCCACGAACTGGAAACTTCCATGAACTGTCCATACCCTTCACTCACTGGATGCAACAGAATAGACTATAGGAAAGACTATATAGTTATAGAACACCTTAATTCATGCACCTGGGCGATCCAATCGACCTGGGCGCTCCGCACCTGGCAGGTCCCCAGCCCAAGAACGACCCGCTCATCCCACCGGTGACCGTGCACCTGGGCGATGACCAACCTGGCTATGCGCTGCAGAGCCATGCGGTGCACCGGAAGATTCCAGAGACTTGGAGCGGTGTTCCGACGGACGTCGACCACCAGCGCTACCAGTGGGGCTTGAGTGAGGTTGACGCCGCCCGCAAGTACCCCCCCCCACGGTACCCCCGGTTGTGGGGAGAGGTAGTGGATTTTTCGACGGATGTCATCGTGTGTCATCGAGTTTTTCGAGACGACCCAGTCTTGCGATGAGTTTGATGCTGCCAGGGATGAATGACCAATGAGCTAAGATTTGTGATAGGTCTACAGTAGGTCTGTTGATGTTGCATGGTTTTTACGATTTTATTTGGAATTTGAACAACATTTCACGCTCTTCAGTATCCGTGTTTGTGGCTTGGTTGTCTTTTTGTGGGCCTGGGCCCCTCATCACACCCAGGCTGAGGAGCACCACGGCGCCCGGGCGCTGCGCGCGGCGGGCAGCGGAGTGCTGATCCCCACTGCGGTCTTCCCGAAACCCGTGAGGTGCAACCCGGTCACTGGCGGTCCCAGGAACCTAGCGCCTCACCGGATGACTGGGGGAGGAGAGAAGATGAGAGAAGAGAGGTTTACTCTCCCGCAAACGAACATGGAACCCGAGAATTGACCGGTGGTGGAAGACCGTGTTCCGAAGACCCACCCAGTGGTTTTGGGGGTTCCATGTTAATCTGCAGGGGAGTACTGGGGGGACAGGGTGCGATTCGGGTGAGAAGAGGATCGAAGAGACAGTCCGAAAAAGACACAAAGAGCACGTCAAAACCTTGAGCCCTATCCCAGACACTCCATGTATGCCATGTATATTGGGGTGGTTTGGGTCAATGTAGGCTTGTCACTTTGATACCTGACAGAGGCACAATCAAACCGTGAAGAACGCCAGGTGGGAAGCATCGTTCGCTTGCATTTTCTCCGGTGTGTACGGCCCATACATCATGCAATTAAGACATATTCAATCACTTATTAATTTTATATCTTATCCCTACAAGTCTAACCTACATTATTGTAATGGTCGACGTGGTAACCTACATTAGAGCATTTCCAAATCTGCACATGCCCCAGCTGGGTGCAGCATCATTTTTTTCCACCAAAAGATGATGGTCAAAGTCTGGACCGTGAAGATCGCATCAACCTCAAGTTCCCAACAATCCAAAGACCCCCCAAAACACATTCAAGTGCGCAAAAGCAGCCAAAAACGCCAAGAAGCTGTGCGATTTTGTTTCGCATCGATCGAACTCGAAGCTTTCCACACTTCAGAACCCATTTGGCCCTATTCTTTGCAGATGCACCATTTCCCACTTCTTAGTTTCAAGAATAGATAAATCGTAGAAAGCTATATGCCCAGAATGACAAACACGCACACACGCACATGCTTCCTCATGATCTATGGCAGCAAGCCAGCAATGTAACACATTGCAACACCAAGTGGCGCTTGAGCCATCGCATTCCATCCTCATCGCAGAAACAATGCCAGAACCTTTGGTTCTTTCCTCGGATATCATGGCAGGCAATGGCAGGTGAACTTTGGTTTATACATCATGTCCACTCAAGGTGACACACACACATAGGTGCAGAGAGAGAAAGAGAGATAGCAAGGGGTGATTGGCAGGCAAGGCTCTGTAGAACTTTGTGTCCCACACGAGGTGGGCAAACATCTCAGTTGTTCATCAACATGGCCCCATCAAACAACCTGGTGTGACACATCAATGTGTATCCTGCAAGGTGACCCAATTGCAAATAGGGCACATGATGCTTCGGTTTCATCAAGAACTGCTGCTTTGACATCCTGGCCCAATCCAAACCAACTTGCAGGTGCTTGCATGCCTTGCGTGCAAGCTCATGTTTTATTAAACATGATCGACACCTTCAAAACTAATCGGAGCCTGACGGATAGTATTTGCGGGCTCTTGTAGAGCTCCAAGAACAACATGCCTTCCTCCCACATTGTGTGCGCAATAGTTGGTGGCCTCGATAAAGTCATCAGAAGAGCGCCCCTCATGAATACACTAGCTACATCAGTCTTTCGTGCACAGTCGAGCTGCAACTCGCGGCCATGGGCTTCGGAAAGCCAGAAGAAGCGTGTCAACGCAGTCCTGAGATCGTGAAGACAAGGCACCGGGAATTGGAATACAAAGAAAGGGCCGAGAAAGATAACTCTCATGTGCATGTAGGTTGCAAAAAGTCTTTTGTATATCCAACATATCCTGAAACGAACCAAGCTACATCATACTGGATGCCAAGTGCAACCTGTCATTGTGAGGATGTCGACCCGACTGAACCACTGTTTGCAATACACTGGAGAGCCACTGCAGAATAATCCTCCCATTCCACGCTTTGACTGTGAGCATAATATCGCCAGTTTTCTTTTCTACCTGAGTGGCAAACCCAGCTACGGGTACTGTTATGAATTACACTCATATTATAATGTTCGTAAGGGGAGTTTGGACAATCATCCTATGGCATTTTCAGTTGTGGGTGGGAGCAGAAGAAAAAAAGTACTAGGTTTCACTTCGAAATCATGACTCACGTGCCCGTATGCCTATGACATTGATTGGGGAACCAATCCAAAACAGTTCTAGAAATCTCCAGATCTGTCTCCTCAACAAGGCTCCATCTTCGTCTTGAAAGGAGGTTGTGAATGGTGAACCCGGTTTTGAACACACCACCCTTTGAAGTGAGCGTAGGCCTGATCCAATTGGTCTTGAAAGCTTCCACCGCCAAAAAAAGGCAACCTCGTCACAGAGGATCTTCCTAAGTTGCTTTGGACTTTCCTGAGCTATAGAATTCTTGATTAAAAAAGACACCCTTACAGCTGAAGAACACCCCCCCAGGGCTCAGACATCTAGAGATCCAAATATACTAGAGATCCAAATCAACCGTTGTTTACATCGAAGGCTGTGAACCTCTATTTCTTCAACACCTTGGCCGTTGGATTGGCTGGGATTGGCTTGCTGAGCATCCTGGATGCAATGATTTCCAGGCAACAACTGAAGACTAATTTCCAACAAGTTTGTAGCTATTTTATTGTGCTGTCCCTACATGAAAGCCTAACTCAAAGGCATAGAGGAAAGTCAAAAGTGTTGTATACATAGCAGGAGGCAAAGACCCGCCGTTGATACTGAACATAATGCCCAGGTTCAGTGTGTGCATGCTGCAAGTCTTTATTGTCCCAGGATGCCAACCTTCGAGAGTTAGAAGTGGACCTCAACCGTGTGTCTTCCATCCCACTAAAAACAATCTCCATCTCAAAGTCGCTATACATGGTACAACGAACTATATAGACCAAAGCGGCAAATGTTCTTGTCCGGGATCCGTTTTGCAACGAACTCCTCTTTGGTGAACTCCTTATCCAGCCATTCCTTAGATCACATCAACTCACCCTGGGAGTCCAAGACTTGTTGACAGCCTCCAACCGTTTTGGTGACAAATGGACAAATTTGGTGAACCCTAATATAGGTGTCAGGGAAATTGAGCGAATGGTACAAGATGGTACAAGATATACTGTATATCAGGTAGCCCGGTGGCCCAAAAGAGCATGTTTCATGGTTTCATTTCTAATTATTGCTAAGTTGTGCCAAAAGGCTTTGGACTTCTAGGGTGCAACCTAAGGCTTGAGAAGGGGGGAGTATCCCAAAACCCGTGTAGGCACCCTCTCTACCAGGTACATGGATGGAAAGCGAATTATAACATTCGTTCAATAATGCAGGAAGGCTCAGCGCTGCGGTCAATACAGTGATAGAGCAATTTTGGATTGTCGGAAGTTGCTAGAGCTGGACATCGGTAGCATACAGTATTGGCTTTCCATGAACACTGCGGGAATCTCCATAGCATTTTGTGCCACTCCCAGTCTCCTCTCAATTCGGTGACCGCGAAAGATTTGCCACAAGAAATGATCCACTTCCCAGCATCCGGCCTTTGCAGAACATTCCCTTGCATATCAACGTTGGGAAAGGTTCCATGAAATGCTGCATTCAGGCTCCAGGTGATCACCCTCAGCGCTTTGTTTACAGTGCGATTCTTGAAGCACTTGGATTTTTCGCAGCTCCACAGCAAAAATCTCGAGCATCGAACGCTGCGTGGGCGAAAAAGAGGTAAGCTGAGGAATATCCCTAAGATGGTCTCTGTTTGGTACACGGTGCTGAGCCGTGCACCGTCCCCGTATAGTGCAACTGGAATGTGCTCTTCAGTCGCGGTGGTCTCAAGTGACCAAGGTTCGCCCGCAGCTCGTGCATCCCTCCAGAACTTTCGAACATCTTCAACTGGAATGGAGAGCTTCACTGAATCCCACAGGTAAGACAGCACTTCATGAGGGAAAAGGATTGGCTGGTTCTCCAGAATAACTTTTCCATCGTGTTTAGGATCTTTGATGGGTACTGCAATGGTGTGTTGGGCCTCAAACGCAAATTGGGCAAATGGCCAAGGAAGAACAATAAACACGGCATTCCCATCCCTTTTCAGTAGATGCATGGGGTTGAGGTTTCAACTCAAGTTTAAACGAGTTCAAACGCACATAGTACTAGTTGATGCAGCTATGTTTCCATCGATGGTACATCGATGAATTTCCAGAAGTCCCTGCTGTCGTTCCAGCCACTCTTTACACCAAGATGCGCGCTATCGGGATGCACTGCTGATTGGCTTTCCTTTCCAGCCCAAAGCACATCACTTAGAATCAGACCATTAATCGATCAGTACAATTGATTTATGCCAGCCAACCGCCAACCAACTTCGATCCTCATTTGATTTCGATGCCAAGGCACACGGACATGGGCCCGAATCTGCTTCATTGCCCTGGTCGTGGATATAGCCTCAGCTCGACAGACGGTCCCATGACTGCAAGAACAGGCAACTGCAGAAACTTTTGAGGTTGCCCTGTGAAACCTATGCTGGTGAGTCCAAAGTAGCCAAGAAACTCCAGAGCTTACATTTTCGGCTTGCTCTTCCAAAACATAGGGAAATTGAATAGGATGTTCTCCACCTGCCCAACGTGCATTGAAACATAAAACAGTCTTTGGAAGCAAAGCTAGCTGCATGCATGGCCATGAACCAAGCACCCCAAAGGAACAGTCAGTGCACGAAGACTCAGAAAGAACACTTTTGGGACTCGCTTCGGATCCTCATGCCACTTAGGCACCCCAGGTTTGAATCACATGTCAACTGACTTGGCGCCAAGCTGCAGGTGAGCATTGGTGCACATCACATGGCCGGGCATGGAGCACCATCCATATCAAGGTTGGGTCAGAAGTTGACATCTTTGCAGGGCAGTTCGGTTTCAATGTACCAACATTGCCCCATACACCGGACATGAACCCCACACCCCCAACTCCCTAAAGCAATTGTTCTGAACATTGCCACGGGTCGGGGGTCCAACACTCACAAGCTGGCTACGACGCACCAGCCCAATCAAAGACTACCCTACTTCATACTGTTATCAGCCAAAAATTTGGAAAAGGCATCAATCACCCCCTCTGCTGTGGTGGACATGTTCCGAAGAAGCTCTTCATCATCCACCTGCCGGAGCAAACCAGC